TCCTGTTCCATTGATCCATGTGTCTCTGTTTTTGTACCAATACCATGCTTCTTTGATTACTATAGTTCTATGATATAGTTTGAAATCAGGAGGCCTGATGCCTTGAACTTTGTTCTTGGTCAAGATGGCATTGGCTCTATGGGGTCTTTTGTGGTTCCACATGAGTTTTAGAATTATTCAACCTATTTCTAGGAAAAATGCCATTAGAATTTTGATAAGGGTTGCACTGAACCTGTAGATTTCTTTGGGTCATCTGGACATTTTAACAATACTGAGTCTTCCAATTCATGAGCATGAAATATTTATCTATTTATTTGTATGTTCTACAACTTTTTTTCCATTGATGTCATAGTTTTCAGTGTACAGGTCTTTGATCTCCTTGTTTAAGTTTATTTCTGAGCATTTTATAATTGGTAATGCTTTCGTAACTAAGATCATTTTCTTAATTTCTCTTTTTGATAACTTGTTATTAGTGTATAGAAACATAATAGATTTTTGTATATTGTTTTTATATCCCGCAACATTACTGGATTCATTTACTATCCAGAATGTCTTATTAATTCTAAAAGGTTTTTGGAGCAGTCTTTTTGGTTTTCCATATATAGTATCATGTCATCTGTGAACAGAGGCAAGTTTACTTCTTCCTTTCTGTTTGGATTCCTTTTATTTACTTTTTCTTGCCTACCTGCTCTGGCTAGAACTTATAAAGCTATATTGAATAAAAATGGCAAGAGTGGATTTTCTTGTCTCGCTCCTCATTTTAGAGGAAAAGCTTTTAGCTTTTTACAATGAATATGATATTGGCTGTGTGTTTGTCATATATGGTCTTTATTCTGTTTAGGTAAATTTCCTCTCTCCCCACTTTATTGAGAATTTTTGGAAAGTAAATGGATGGCGAGTTTTACAAATGCTTCTTCTGCATCTACTGAGACGATTCTATGATTTTTATCCTTCATTTTGTTAATGTGATTTATCACACTGATTTGCAGATATTGAGCCATCATGCATCACTAGAAGAAATGTCACTATGGTATATGATCTTTTTAGTGTATTTTTGAATTTGATTTGCTAATATTCTGTTGAGAATTCTTGCATCCATGTTTATCAGGGATATTGTTCTGCAAGTTTATTTTCTTGCAGTGTACTTGTCTGATTTTGGTAGCAGGATGATGCTGGCCTTGTGAAATGAGTTTGGAAGGATTTGCTCTTCTTCTATTTTTAGGGAGAGTTTGAGAAAAATTGGTATTAATGAGTCATTAACCATTGTCAAAATCACCAGTGAAGTCACCTGGTTTGGACTCTGGTACCTCCAGACAATGGAATGTTAATCAACACTAAAAAGAAATGAGCTATTAAGACGTGAAAAGACATGGAGGAAACCTAGATGCATATTACTAAGTGAAAGAAGTCAATCTGAAATAGCTACATACTGTATGATTTCAATATAGGATGCTCTAGAAAAGGAAAATCTGTGGAAAATCTTAAAAGAACAGTGGTGTCCAGGGTTGAGGAAGGTAGAGATGAATAGAAAGAACCCAGAAGATTTTTAGGAGCCATGAAAAAATATTCTGATCATTTAATGATGGATATGTGTTCTTATACATTATTCCAAACCCAAGAGTGAACCCGAGTGAAAACTGTGAGCACTAGATGACAATGATGTGTTGATGCAGGTCCATCACTGATAACATTTGTAGTAACCTGGTGTGGGATGTTGATAATGGGGAGGCTGTGAATGTGAAGGACTGGGGCTATATGAAAAATCTTTATGCCTCTCCCTCAATTTTGTTGTGAACACAAAATTGTTCTATAAATATAAAGTAAAAAAAAAAAAAAAAAGACAACCAACAAAACAAAACAAGACCGTGCTGCAGTTTAGGTGTTCTTGACCTAATTTAACAAGGCAGCAGAAAACAGAAACCCTCCAAAGTTATATAAATTTTCCAAGTCCCCTGTTTATTTATGTGCTAATCCAGAATCTGAAACCTCATTTCTTTAAGTCCAAAAATATATTATCTTTCCCTAAAGTCAGTTCCTATTCTGTACTAATTCATCATATTCAATAAGGCTACTTTCCAAAGGAGCATCTCACTGATGACAAATGTTTATATGTATTATATGTATTTATTTATCTTTAAAGATTTTATTTATTTATTCATGAGAGACACAGAGAGAGAAAGAGGCAGAATTACAAGCAGAGGGAGAAGCAGGCTCCATGCAGGGAGCCCAGTGAGGGACTCGATCCCGGGACTCCAGGATCACGCCCTGGGCTGAAGGTAGCACTAAACTGCTGAGCCACCCAGGCTGCCCAGTATATATATTATATTTAATGTAAGTTTCTCAATACTACATTTTTATATTTAAAGTAATTTAACTTTTTAGATTTTGTTGCTCACACTGGTGAAGCAATGTATCATTTCCTCCGGTTGTTGAAAGTAATTAATATATGTGATTTTTTTTCCTGAAGCAAAATGGAGATAACTTCAGTTTTGATATAGACGTTGGCAAACCAGGCTGTAATGGCCGGGAGAGACTTTCCTTCCCTATTAGCATTTATGTATTCCCCCTGCATTTTTTAACCTATTTCTTCAAACTATCTGTAATTTGTAGGTTATAGGAAGTCCAATAGGTTTTAGCTAGACGAAATGGCTAGCCATTAACATGAGCCATGTTAATCTATTTAACACTGCTGTTGAATAGTGTCTGTCTAAGAGTCCTAAGTGCTTTAAACTCTCTGTTAGCCACACACAGGTAACCCTGTCTGCTACAAACCTAACTTTTCTCCATGTTTCTCTATTTCTACAGAATTTTTTTGATTTCGTAGGTTCTAATCTTTGCTCTCAACAAAGATCAATCTCTTTTCAACTGCCAGAATTAATACTTCAGTTCAGGCTTTGTTACCATCTACTTGATCAATGTTTATTGCTTCTTTCTTGGTTTCCACACCCTAATTTTCTTCTGTTCCATTTTTGCCTTTGTATCGCTACTACCTCACCCTAACAGAGGCCATAGCCATGTCATATGCCTGCATTAAAAGACCCAATGGACTCTCATATGGCTACTAAATTTGAATACATACTTTGCTATTCAATTTGGGAATTTCTTCCCTCCCTTGTAGCATTTTTCTTGAGCATTTTTCTCATGCTAACTCTACTGCAGAAAAACAGCTGAATCTTCTTCCTACAGATCTTTGCTTATACTGTTCCCTTCACCTGGAATCCTGTCCCTCATTCTTGTCCCTTAATCACTCAGAGGTCCATTTTAAAGCTTGCCCTTTCCACCATTCCTTTTATTATGATCCCAAATGGATTTGACTTCCATTCTCTCCAAATATATACAGTTTTTTTGTGCCCTCCTTTATTAATCTGCTTTATCTTAGGACTATTCATGTGAATAAAAATCAGATTATATAAATCCTATGAAGACAAAAACACCTTTATTATCTTTATAGCCACCAACAATATCTAATACAGAGTACTGGCTTATCCAAAGACATTTTATTTTCCTGTTTACACTTCTTATTCTTATGGAAGGTACAGAGGGGGAGATCAGAAGATAGCAGTCTTCAACAAGGAAGAAGAGGAGAGAAAGAGAGACTAAAAGGGGGCGGGGGTGCCTTCTGGAACTCATACAATGAAGCTGAATTTCTTTAAGCATAAAAGAAGAAGAACTTTATTTACTTATTTGTTTGCTTATTGATTATTATATGTAAAGCCCAGAATGTGGGTAACTCAATATAGGGACTATTGTAGTCAACTCAAGTGTTTTATTTTCTATTTAATTCTCTAACATGCTACTAGTTTTATTGATTTTTTTTTTACATTTAATATTCTACTAGTTTTATGAAGTATCTTTGGTTTTTATTTTTATCAAAGTATTATTTTGGAAGAATGTTCCCCTGCGAACAAATGTGACTGCCTATGGAAAACTGGGTCAGTGTGTGTGAAAGTAGCACAGAGAAAATCTGAGTGGGTTTGGATACTTTGATCAGACCATAACTTTGACTTTGTCTTCTTGGGTCCCCAATGCTTAGAAGCCCCTTTTCTTCCTCCTCTGTGATCCACTAAGATCACAGTTTCAGACCAATCATATTAGCATTCCCTGAGTTTAGTTTTTGTCTGTCCTACAATAGCAGCCTCACAGATTGGTGAACCCAACAGCATATTCAAATCAGCTTTGCCCAAGAAGCACACATTCCAGCGCATAATCTTAGACCAGCCTAAAGGGATATTTACAGTCATTAATTATGCATAGTCTTCCATGGTGAGAACCTGAAAAGTTGCCTTTAAAAAAAAAATTGTTTTAGGGGCACCTGGGTGGCTCAGTCAGTGAAGCATCTGACTTCAGCTCAGGTCATGATTCTTGGGTCCTGGGGTGGATCCCAGCATCCAGCATCAGGCTCCTTGCTCAGCAGGGAATCTGCTTCTCCCTCGCCGCCCCCCCCCCCCCGTCCCTGCTTCCTCAAATGAATAAAATATATTTTTTTAATTATTTAGTGTTCCTAAAGAGATTAATTTTAGAATAATATTTAAGATTTTTAGCGATAGGAAGCAGTACTTGATTAGTTAGTAAAGCATTGAAGTAAATGTAATCCTCTGTAAATTACAGTGAACCGTTACGAAGCATTTTCCTTTTTATTGCAAATATGAAGTGTGCACTTATATTTCTCAGATATACTTGGAGTTAAAATATGGGAAAGACAAAATTTCCGCTTTTTGTGGAAATAATAACATTAAAATAAAGCTTATTATGCAAGAAATATTTCCAGTAGGAAAATAATGCCTTTTGGACCTCATCAATGCAAAATGGAACAGAACTTATTTTGCTTACTTTCAAAGTTAAGAATTTGTATGTACGATTTTGAAAGCCTCTGATATATACAAATTGCTGTTTTATTCATTTTTCTTGAGGGTGATATTGCCATTGTAACATATTTTACAATAGTCACACGGATCTATTTGTTGAACCTATTTTCTCTCTCTCTCTCTCTCTCTCTCTAGCCTCCGCAAACCTTTCCTGGAAGGAATGAGAGCTTTCAAATTGAGACAACAAGGGAAGAAAATCCGAGCACCACCGAGTGCAATTCTCAAAACGTAAGAATAACTTAAAATGGTTTTCACGGTGTTCAACTTGAAAATAAGAACATAAACACTTTAACAATTCTAGTTCATGCCCCCATGAAACTTTCTGTATGTGATATCTACTATCTAAACATTGTACTTTAAAATTTGAAAAAGCAAATATTCTTTGGCTGTCAGTGAAGTAGGTGTCCTGTTAGGAAATGTAACCAGACTCTTAGGAGTACTAGAAGTTGAGTGGTCAGAGTGGCAAGAGGGTGAGCACATGCTCAGCAATGTGCTCATTCCCACTACCACGTGACAGAAAGCTGTTAAAATATTTATTATTATTATTATTTTTAAATATTTTATTTATTTATTCATGAGAGACACAGAGAGAGAGGCAGAGACACAGGCAGAGCGAGAAGCAGGCTCCACGCAGGGAGCCCGATGCAGGAATCGATCCTGGAACTTCAGGATCACACCCTGGGCCGAAGGCTGAGCCACCCAGGGATCCCTGTTAAAATATTTAAAACAGGGATCCCTGGGTGGTGCAGCGGTTTGGCGCCTGCCTTTGGCCCAGGGCGCGATCCTGAAGACCCGGGATCGAATCCCACGTCGGGCTCCTGGTGCATGGAGTCTGCTTCTCCCTCTGCCTGTGTCTCTGCCTCTCTCTCTCTCTCTCTCTCTCTCTCTCTCTCTCTCTCTCTCATAAATAAATAAAAATTTAAAAAAAAATATTTAAACCAAAAACGAAACCCCAAAGGATGTGATTCAATCGTCTTCTCCCTATAAATAAAATAAACCCAGCATAATAGAGACATTACATTGAAGAAAGAGAGGTTCTTTACCTTCAAGTGATAATAGGAAATATATAGTTGTGCCCTTTTTTATTTCTCATAATAATGTAATGAAATTTCAATTATGGAACTTTGGCACAATTACAGATCTATAATGTCTGGAGATGAGAAACAGCAGGCGACAACTGGGTTGAGTAGATTCAAAGTTAGGCTTTAACCTGTTTGACAGAATGAAAAGTATCTGCTAAAGCTGTTCATGAATGAAAAGACATCAGACTACAGCAAAGAAAATAAGGTAGAAAAGACATATATATTAACGAAGTCTGTCTCTTTTTCTTGTATTGGCTGCCAAAGAGAATTTAGAAATATGAATTTCTCAACAATTCCGCCTTCAAATCTTTGTGTGTTTAAACATGTACCAATTTAGAACATAATAAAATTAATGATAAGTAGAAATGAAAATCTCTACAATGTACCTCTAAATAAAGAAGTCCAGGTTCTCTGCAGGAAGGAACATTTTGCTAAAGACAGATAGTTCTCTGACATGTGAACCATCAGAATAAAAGGACACGAGAATAGAGTGCAGACAGTGGTGGGAAATACGCCTGAAAGGACAATTTGAGACTTAAATGTGAAAGACCCTGGGTTCCCAAGCCAAAGAGTTTGGTTGGAATCAAGGTTATATAGTTCAGGTTTCCAAATGTTTGTGTCCAATTAAGTTATGAGACCATAGGGTTAATTTGAAGAATGTTTTTATTTGATATATTTTTATATGATTATGTGTGTGTGTGTTGGTTTGTTTCACTCTCCTCCTATGATTACTGTTCTTTTCTGTCCCCGGTAATTCCTTTCCCTTCATCAAGTCTCATGAGCAGTGACTATGTTGTTGCAGGTCCCAGCCTGGGTCCCTTCAAAACTCTGCCTCTGCCTGCACCAAGGAGAATGCTCTGTCTCTAACCCGACCTCAGCCTAGATTTTAGTCTTTGGAGTTTGCACGTCCAAAAAGCTACACTTTGTAGTGCAGAGAGTGCTCAGTATTCATAGTCTGTAGATTCAATTACATTTAAAGGCTGTGAGAGTAATATAGATGAGTGAGATAGACCAGATGTAAGCAGTAGGAATTAGTGGAACTGGTGTGAACATCAATTTTCAAATTTTAGACCTGCCATTCTTAGCTGTCCTGACAATAGCATCACCTGGAGAGTTCTTATAAAATACTGACGCCAGGGGCCGACGTCAGAAAAATTAATTCAACATCTCGGCATGTGGGGTCTAGAGGTTAGTTGTATTTATTTTTTCAATTGCTCCAGGTGATTCTAATAGGCAGTCAAGTTTCACTTCCAGGGTATTTCACATGAAAATGAGCATTAAAATCATGTGAGGAGGTTTTAAAAAGTAAGATTCTAAGAAATTCTTAAGGAAACTATAAACGACTAGGATTAAATGTAATCTCCAATTTATTTATTTATTTGTTTGTTTGTTGTTATTATTTTTTTTTTTACATGGACCCGGCAACGCTCTTTCCAATCCAGGTAAATCTGAGGCAGATGATTTGTGAGTGATAATTTGAAAAACTTTGGTTTAGATACCTTTAGTATATTGTTTAATAATGGGTTTTCTGCTTCTCTTACTCTGTTACATTTACATTTTAAAGAGGGAAGTGTCTAAGTTAGGCTCTATAATGGTCATATGAAAGACCGTGTTCTTTTGATAGTGGGTAGGAGAGATCCATCCCCAAATCCTTTGTTTATTATGTAACGATATATAAAACCAGGGTTGATGTAGGACCGTGGAATTGATCTGGAAGTTGTCACGTGATTTCATCCATTGCTGAGCTCTCCATGAGAAGTCTAGTGGACCATCAACACCCCCAAGCTACAGTAACCAGAGGATGATTAATTTTAAGCAAGGAGACCCCTATAGTTCCTTTCCAGGATTCTCCAGTGCTGGGACCAGGCCTGCTGACTTCTTCAGCCTTACAGAAAGAAAGCAGGGGGATCTTTGGACTTATGAGAACTGTTGTTACTCAGCTTGTCTAAAATCAACCCAGAATACTCTTATTTGTGTTTCATATCATGCAATGTGGTTGCTTCCATTTTAATACAGCAACAGGAAAATACCTTCAACTTGACTTTAGCAGCTGCAGACTCAGCCCCAATTTGGGTGGCTTTAATTGAATGTCCAAATGAGGTATCCAAACATAGTTTCATAAAGTAATTGCAAAGTAAATTTACCCTTGTCTGGGAAAGGGATTAGTGCATTTTCCAGGGTAAGAAAGATAGTTATATTAGACAGAATTACAGCCTCCTTATTGTCTTCATTTGGAGATTAAGTAATGTGTATGGGTGCCAAACAGACAAGGCATGAATTTGTGATCAGTAAGATTATGCATCAACATGCTCAGAGAGCTGGTAAAGCATTGTTTCTGGGTGTGTCTGACAGGGTGTTCCTGGAAGAGATTAGCATTAAATCAGTAGGCTAAGTAAGAAGATTGGGTGGGAATTCTCTAATCCCTTGAGGACCCACGTAGAACAAAATGGTAGAAGAAGTGTGAATTCTTTCTCTCTTTGAGTTGGGACATGCATCTTCTGCCCACAGACATCAGAGCTCTTGGTTCTTGGGCCTTCCAACTCTGGGACTGAGCCCAGCAGCAAACCCTCACTTTTCCCAAGTTCTCAGGCCTTTGGAATCAGCTGGAAGTTACATCATCAGCTCCCCTGGTTCTCAGTACTTCAAATTTGGATCAAATTATACCACAGGTTTTCCTGATTCTCCAGCTCACATAGGGAGGGCATATCATGGCATATCTCAGCCTCCATAATCGCATGAAACAATTTCCATGATAAGTCACCTCTTATATATGTATGTATATATCCTATTAATTTTTTTTCTCTGGTGAACACTGACCAATTCAGTCATTTTTCTATATTTGTATTCTGCATACTTTGGATATGTTTTGAAAAAATTGGCATTTGCCTTTTATGAAAGAGTTTTCTTTAATCAGATTAATCAGTGTGACTTAAGTTTTATACAGTGAAAGTACATGGTAGTTGTTAAATAAATTTTGATGTTACTGGTCTTATTTGACAGAATTATAGTTGGCAGTTTAACTCTCATTTCTTTTTTTTTTTTTTCTAATTTGTTTTTCTACTCCATGGAACTCAAAAATCTAGAAACTACCAAATGAGGACATTTTAAAAATAATAGAAGTATGATAAAATAGGGACCTGAATGAAGACAATGACAGAAATAGTTGAGAGAAAGAAATCAGCAGAATATTAAAATGAGAAATCCATTAGACTTTGTGATCAAGTGAAGATGCAGAAGCAAAGACAAAAGTATAACATGGACCCCGAATTTCATGTTAAGCAATTGTGGCAATTATATTGTTCTCAGATAAAGTACAGGAGGAAAAATTTCAAGTTAATTTTTGTTCATCTACTTCTAAATGGAAGAAGTTCATGCGCTCTTAATAACTAGAATAAACAAAAATTTACTTTAGAGCTAATTTATTTATAAGAAAAATATGATAACTTAAAAATAAAACTGTTGAGGTGTAATTTGCATACCACAAAAATCACACATTTTTTAAAGACATATTTATTTATTTTAAAGATTGAGATAGGGAGAAAGCATGCACATCTTTGAGTCGGGGGAAAGGCAGAGGGAGAGAATCTTCAAGCAGACTCCCCACTGAACGTGGAGCCGGATTCAGCTCAATCTCATGCGTCTGTCACCCATGAGATCACGGCCCGAACTGAAACTCCTAGTCAGGCACTTAATCAACTGAGCCACCCAGGTGCCCCCCAAACCACACATTTTTAAGTGTATATTTCATTAATTCATGAAATGTATTGAGTTGTGCAACTATTACCACAGCCCGGTTTTAGAACATCTCCATTTCCATCACCCTAAATAAGATCCTCTAGCCTTTTTACAGTTAATGTCCATTCTCAGCCTTAGCCCAGACAGACACTAACCTAGTTTCTATATGTATAGGTTTAGCTTTTTATAAATTCTATATAAGTTCATCATATAATAATATAGTATTTTGCATCTCACTTCCTTCACATAGTGTAATGGTCTTGAGGCTCATCCATGTTATAACATAAATCAGTAGTTTCTTTCTTTTCATTGCTGAATAGGATCAGTTGTATGATTATAACACATTTTTGTTATCCATTCATCATTTGATACCTTTTGAGCTGTTTCTCCTTTTTGGTTTTATGAATAATG